CTCTCTCTCTCTCTCTCTTATAATTCTTCATCGTTTAAAATCCGAACCTTAAATCGATGCGCATAAACAAAGCAGCGTGGCATTCTCGATCACTGACCCGCGCCAACGTATGATGATACTCTCTACGTTTCCGTCGGTCCGCCTCGTTCGCGATCGATCGATCTTCAGCCGCAAATTCCCGTAGATTCCTCCCTTTCTTCTCTCCCTCACCGCCGTCGCATGCGGCTATTTGCGACATCGATTCGTGTCGCGATCGATCGGTCGATGTCTCTTCTCTCTCATTCTGCGAATCGATTATCCTCCTCACTTTCGTCGACCTTCGCCAAACTTCAGATCCTCATCCGACGAGAGTTTCAGGTGACCTAACCTCGTCCGGAATCCTCCTTTCGAAGATCATGCAATCGCGCGGAACACGCGAACGAGAATAGAGCTGGGAAGTGCAACGGACAGGAGTAATCGGAGTTCGCGACATCCTCAGATGCGACTTGCGACAAGTTAGATTTCGGGCATTACGGGTGCACATGTAGATTGTACGTCAGTACGCCAAGTGCTTGTGTTACGAAGTTACTCGCACGTATGTCAGGGTTACTCTTAGGAAAAAATTGTTGGCTTTCGGCTAGGTGAGCTCAGCGTCCGGAGTTCCGGGCGTTCGAGCGCGTCCTGAAAGGGTGAAAAGAAGGGAGCGTGGTGGAGGATCGCGCGCGAGGGGGACATCGGTGCGCGCGTTGTGTATTACGTCAGGTCAGGGCGAGCGCGACGGCGAGAGAGTGCAGCACCGCAAAAGAAAGAGAGAGAGGGAGAAAAAGAGAACGACAGAGCGAAAGAAAGGAAGTGAGTGAGGGGGAGGGATAGGTAGAGGAACGGCGTCTCTCTTTACATCTGCGCATTTCTCGCGTTCGCTCAGGGGAAAACTCCAAAACAAGCAACATGGCGGACCCGAGCAGCGAGCCCGCATCGTCGAGCGGCATCGCGGAGCAGGTAGCCGCGACGGCGGCCGCCACCGTCGTCGCGGACCCGTTGCGCGAGGACCACGACAAGCCCGAGGACTTTCACGAGCCCGACAAGAAGCGGCGGAGGACGACGACGCGCGCCGAGGACGCCGCGAAAAACCGAGCAGAAGCTGGAGCACGTCTGGGCGGCATCCTCTGCTGCGCAGTATGCCTCGATTTGCCCCGTGCAGCCGTCTATCAGGTATGTTCGTCCCCCCTTCTCCCCGCCCCGTCCTCGGCTTTCTTCCTCGCCGCCTCCTCTCCGTTCCGGGAGGTCTGGCGGCGACGACGTTCGACAACGAAGGTTGAAAAGATAAATACAAAAAAAGGGAGAAAAAAAAAAGAAAACTATGTCCCCCGTTTCCTTTCGCGACGTGTCCTGCTTTCATCGAGACGTGCGACCGCCCTTTATCCCCCTCGCCGGATGATCGCAATGTGCGAAACCCGCGACCCGTGCCCCTCTTCCCGCGACGGCCTATGTAGCGGTCCATCGATCCGTTTGCGTCTCCGAGGGGTCGATTTTTCGAGCGACCGACGCCACGTATAGGCGAGACGGTCGCGCGAACTCCTGGGGCTCAACCCGCTCGGGAGAGACGCGTACGACTCCAGACTCGTTCTTCGCAGACGCTCTGAAGTATGAGTGACTGGAAAGCTCCCTTTCCCCCCCCCCTCCCCCCGGGCACGTCGTCCACAAAGCGTTCCGCTCACGATCAAGGGCGATCGAAGGCTTCGCGAATTATGTTTAGGAACGTACTGTACGAACTGTCAAAAAGAGAAAATTTGCGCTTATCGCCACTTTATTGTATTTAGCAAACTACGTCTTTTTCTCCTGTTTTAACATCCTCCTCCGTTGAAATATTCTTTTTCTCTCTCTCTCCCTCCGTTACCATCTTTTGCTTTTCTTCCTTTCTTTTCTTCTTTTCTTCTTTCTTTTTTTTTTGCCGTGACGTGAGATGTGGAACTAACGAATTATCTCCGTTGAATAGCTTTTTAGTCTATTTTTTTTTTATTTTTTTTTTTTTTTTTTTTTTTTTTATTTCATAACGGAGTCCGGATGTGAATTGTAACGGAGCTCGATACCAGGCTGGACTTTTTTTCCTTCCCTCCCATGTTTCTCGTTTACTTTAATGTGATGTAATATTAAAATATGCGGTAAAAATCCATAAAGTAGTAGCAATATATATATATATAATCGTACAGTTCCCTGTCATAAACTCTTTAGCTTTATACACAGGTCGAATAATGAGTTTGTCCGTTGAGACGAGACGAGAGACATGTTAAGTTTCCCGCAGGTAGGTGACTTTATATTTTTTTCTTTATATTAGAAGGTCAACACGCGTCGCTCTTGTGACATATCTACGTTGCGACGAACTTGTTGTAACGAAACGGCTCCCTTCGCAACACACAAATCGACTCGATAAACTGTGTAAGACACGTACATGATTTGCGCACAATCTTCTTTGCTTTGAAAAACTTAAAGTATCCAATTTGTCTGAGAGAGAAAGAGAAAGAGGGGAAGAACATGCCTCCTCTCTTGATGACCGCAAGGAGCTACACGTAAAATTAATTTCCTACGTCCGCGATTGTTTACGATATATATCGGGCCTTTCGTTATAAACTACGCAACCTGCGTGCAACGCGATATAACTTCGATATAACTTCGATCGAAGAGAGAAGTAGAATAACGTCACTCTGAACAGGTACCTTAGACGAAATGTAAAGCAGCCGTTTTCTCTCGATTTATTATTGTGTGTATGCATGCAGCTACTCATACTCGTTTAGAGCAAGTTGATCGCAGGAGAGATACCACATACGTTTTGTCGGTCAATTGTAGATCCAGCCTTCCCATAAACCCTCTCCCCCCCCCTCCCCGCCTCCCCCGTTAGTTTTTCATATAACTTTCCTTAGGAATGCTGTGTCGACGCGAGATTACACGCGGCATTGAAAGGATTCACAAGTGACATAACTTAACTGTAACTTAATTGTAACAGAGTACACGAGGGATTGTATGCCACCCGCCTTGATATTTTTAATGTTAATTAATAACAATGTGTGTAAGCTCACAGGTGTGAGGTCTCCTCTGCAGACGCGCACGTCTTTTTCGTGACGTTTGTGATACGAAGATACTCGATCCATTGTATTCTTTCAGTTGTACACATTTCTACAAAAAACACATCCATTCCCCTCCCCCTTCCCCCGCACACTTGCCTTCCTTTTTTTTTTTTACTATAGAGCCTATGATGCATTTATAAAGAACGACGAATCCGTTTCTGTGGCTCGCGAAATAGCGGGATTGGAAAATCCCGCGTGCTCTCGTTAGTGCCTCTATAATTAAATCGGTTAGATAAAGTAGTCAAGTACTTAAGATTCTAGATCTCTGTAGTTGTTTAGTGTATAATACTATAATGATACTTGGACTCTTACGAAATGCTGTGTTTACAATAAGAGATTATCGAAAGGCAGGGACATATTCGGAACACAATGAGAATATAAAAGCCTATTGTTAGATTAATGCGAGACTGATGCCCATCAGTTATAGTCAGCAGTGAGAGAGTGAGAGTGAGGGAGAGAAAGCGAATACAGAAAGAGAAAGAAGAAAAAGATCTGTACAAACTGTATAGTTGCAAAACAAAATAAATATTCTTAAAGGTTATTAGTTAGTTATTTCGCATAAAACACCCCTTTTCACTTCTTCCCACGTGTCATCATCCTCGTCTCTTCCCTTCTGTCATCGATATATTGACATTAAAAATAATTCCTTAGAGAATACTCGTGATAATTTAAACAAACACGATCTCGATAAAGTACATTTGTAATTAATAAGTACCCGTACGATTTTGTGTTTCAGGTTTAAACGTCAAAGTGATGGTAATATACATGGCATAATTTTTTGATTCTATTTGTGTTGACGATTCTGGGGGTTCTGTAGTATGCACATAAAATAAGAATGCAAAACAGAAAGTGAATATACTGTCTGTAACGAAAACGTTCATGAGAACAAAGAAAAGGAATCGGCTTGTTATGAACGTTATCACGTATATCGAATCAATAATTATCAGCTACATTTCTCGTAAAGAGTCGTTAAAATTTGTAATTTAGAAAGTTGTGTGTACATCTGAA